AAGACATACGACAAAACTCCTTATAATAATTAAATTTAGAATTATCATAAAAACAAATAGGAGGTGAACAAGAACTGCCTTCAAAGGCATAGTTGTTATTATTTTTATTTTTATTTTTGAATTGGAATCTCACTCTGTCTCCCAGAAAGGAGTGCAGTGGCCGCTCCCAGCCATCATAGCCTCAACCTGCTGGGCTCTGGCGATACTTCCACCTCAGCCTTCCAAGTAGCCGGAATTACAGGCATGTACTACCATGCCAGGCTGATTTTTTGATTTATTGTAGAGATGAGGTCTCACTGCCCAGACAGGTCTTGACCCGCGGGCTCAGGCAATCCACTCACCTCAGCCTCCCAAAGGCGCGGGATTACAGGATGAGCCACTGAGCCTGGCTGCTGTGTAGAAACTTTTTAGTTTAATTAAGTCTCCCTCATTTTTGTTTTGTTGTATTTGCTGTGGGGTTTTAGTCAAAAATTCTTTGAATAAGCCAATGTCCAGAAGGGATTTTCCTAGGTTTTCTTCTAGGATTTTTATGGTTTCAGGTCTGACATTTAAGTATTTAATCCATCTTGAATTAATTTCTGTAGATGGTGAGAGATAGGGATCAAGTTTCATTTTTCTGCATGTGGCTATCCAGTCTTCTCAACACCATTTGTTGAATACGGTGTCCTCTCCCCAGTGTATACTTTAATTTGTCAAAGATGAGTTGATTATAGGTATTTGGGTTTATTTCTGGATTCTCTATTCTGTTTCATTGGTCCATGTGTCTGTTCTTGTAGTATCATGCTGCTTTGGTTACTACAGCTTTATAGTATAATCTGAAGTCAGATAATGTGATGCTTCCAATTTTGTTCTTTTTGCTTAGGACTGTTTTGGTTATTCTGGCTCTTTCTTAATTCCATATGAACTTTAGGGTTTTTAAAAATTTCTAGAAAAATGACACTGGTAGTTTGACAGAGACTGCACTGAATTTGTAGATTACTTTGGATAATATAGTTGCTTTGACAATGTTGATTTCTCTAATTTATGAGCATAGGAGGTTTCTCCATTTGTTTGTGTTCTCTACAGTTTCTTTCAACAGAGTTTTGTAGTTCTCCTCATAAAGATCTTTCAACCTCCTTGGTTAAATATTTTCCTAGGTATTTTAGCTTTTTGGCTACTATTGTAAATGAAAATGGGTTATTGATTTGATTAACTGCTTGGTCACTACTGGTGTACAGCAGTGCTACTGATCTATGTGTTTTCATTTTGTATCCTGAAACTTTACCAAATTCATTTACCAAGTCCAGGAGTCTTTTGGAGGAGTTGTTAGGATTCTCTAGTTACAAGATCATATCATTAGCATATAGAGATAGTTTTATTTCTTCTTTTCCAACTTGGAGATGCCTTATTTCCTTCTCTTGCCTGATTGCTCTGACTAGGACTTCTAGTACTATGTTGAATAGAAGTAGTGAAAATAGTCATTTTGCCTTGTCCCAGTACCGAGAGAGAATATATTCAACTTTTCTCCATTCAGGATGACACTGGCTGTAGGTTTGTCATATATGGCTTTTATTATTTTGAGGAATGTTCCTTCTATGCCTGCTTTGTTGAAGGTTTTTATCATGGAGGGATGCTAGATTTTCTCAAATGCTTTTTTCTTTTGCATCTACTGAAATAATCATATGATTTTTGTTTTTAATTCTGTTTATGTGGCGGATCTCATTTATTGACTTGCATATGTTGAATCATCCTTGCATTCCTGGGATATCATTTTTCCACTAACTTTTTGAAGTTCCCTCACATAATTCAAACAGCCCAAAATTTCCCAAAAAAACTTTGAGTGTCAATATTTTATTTATATATGTGTACATATATACTCTATAATTCTCAATCATCCTTATATTTTGGTTTCTCCACTTCTGCTCCCAGGTTATAGAACACTGATGAAGAATGATAAAGCATGAGATAGACCAATCACCTGAAATTCATGATATTCAATTCAATCTGAGTTTTCTTGCACATTCCCCATATTAGTGTTATAGAGGTCTTTCCCTTTAGGCCCCAAATTCTCTTTGCCTCCTAATCCCATCACTTAGAATGTTGACCTCACTGGATACCTTAACAAAAAACTGAGACTACTTAATGTGGCTCTTCATGTAGTCCCATCTTCACTTCACTAAATCAATTCTCCCTAAAGAAAAGATGTTCTAATAAAATGAACATGGGATCTAGAGCCATGTGTTTAAGTCCCACTATTATAGCTGTGATCAGGGGCAATCACTTATTCTTTCTGTTTCCTCATCTGTAAAATAAAAATAAGAACACCAAATTGTTGTATATATTGAATGTGTTTCATAAACTAAAAAGATCAATGCCAACGTTATCTATTACCCTACAATTTTCTAACGTGCTTGCTAAGGAAAATCACTTCACCCATAGACAGTCATATGTAACTTAACAATAGGGACATGTTCTAAGAAATGCATTGTTAGGTGATTTTGTTATTGTGTAAACATCATAGGATGTACTTACACAAACCTTGATAGTATTCAACTATATACCTAGGCTATATAGTATAGCCTATGGCTCCTGGCCTACAACCCTGTACAGCATGTTTCTATACTGAATACTGTAAGAAAACTGTAACACAATGGTCAGTTTCTGTGCATCTGAACATATTTAGATACAGAAAAAGTACAGTGAAAATACAGTATTATAATTTTATGGGACCACTATTGTATATGCAGACTATCATTAACTGAAACATCATTATGCAATGCATGATTACATACTCTAAATCCTACTCCCTCTATCATTGTTTAATGTTACCTCTCCTTAGCTAGCATATTCAAAATTCCTTTCTAAGGGCGCTTTTCCTTTGGCTCTCAAACATGTTTTTTACTTTTCTATCTTCAAATTAAAAATATATATATTAAACCCTTTCCTTGGTTTACTTCTTATAGATAATATTTAACTAGATTCCTTCTTCCTGCTACCCAATACTGATTGCATGAGTTTGCTTTTTAAGATACCCATTTCTCTAACAAGGCTGTACAATCTACAGCCTTCCACTACCCATTCCACTGATAATTAATCCTCTGAAAAGTTTCCTTGCTAGACTCTGGTGTGGCCATATGCTCTTTGAGCTATGGTTGTCACCATGCTTCCTGGCTTTGGCCCCCTCTCCCACCTTGGGAAGGTGAATCTTCTCTCTCCCCTCTCTTTCTCTAATTCAGTTTTAAATAAACTATATGGTTTAATCTAACTTCTGTGCAATTCTCTGAATCTTCCATGTGGCATCAGATCGCACCCCAGACAGCCACATGTAGGAAGTGATGTCTTTTTAAATAAATCTTTTTTTTTCCTCAAAAAAAAAAAAGGCTCAATGAATGATATTGCTATTTCCAGTGGTCCTACCTCCTTCTTGATCTTTCTCTGGTATTGGTATTACCCTGAAACTATACAGTCCCAAAAGTTTTTCTTCTTTGTTGCCTGTGTGATACTATACTGTCCCATTTCCACTCCTACCTCAATGTGCCTTTATAAGAACTGCCTTTCCTGTTTCATCTCCTTTTTCCTCTCTCCTGCCTGAGTGTCTGCCAAAGTTATGTATGCTCTAGGTTTTGTTTTTCAGAGCTTCAACTACCTTCTCTCCTGTAATTCTCATTTTTACTCCAGACGTGGACTGCCATCTGCTCATAAGACATCCTTGATACACTTGAGAGTCCCTCCTTTACCTCCAACTCAACACTTTAGAATCTTCCCTAAGAATTTTCTCCCCAATCTCCCTTCAAATATTTCGTGATTTTAAAATACAAAGTCAGAAATGTAATGCTTCATGTCCTTTAGTCTCCAGATCCAATATCATGAGATACCTTGTCTTTCCTTCAAAGTATCATCCCTTAATTCTCACTGTAACCAATAATCTTTATCTAACACCTCATATTTCCTTTATTACAAGAGAAAAGCCTTTTATTTCCCTCCAACCTTCTATGATCTATTCTTTTTGCTACTTCTACACTGATCTTCCTAAAACATCACTTCATTCACATCTTTATCACTTTAATTACCTAAGAATCTGTGAAGGTTCCCGATTACCAATCCAGGCCAATCATCATGTAATCTAAATCAGGGGTTAGGAAACTTTCTGTAAAAGGTCACATAGTAAGTATTTTAGACTCTGCAAACCATAAAGTCTCTGTCACACCTACTCAACTGTACCATTGTTGTGATAAAATTACCATAAATTACATATAAACAAATAGGTATGATTGTGTTCCGATAAAACTTAATTTACAGAAACAGATTTGTTGGCCAGACTTGGTCCAAAAGGCAGTTTGTCAACTCTTAGTCTAGGTCCACTCCAAATATTCAATTTTATTTTCTACCACCAGTTTCTCCCCGTCATTAATCCTATAAACATTCACTAAGCATCTACTGTATACAGGCACTATCCAAGTGGCTGGATATAGAACAGTAAAGTTGGTCTCTACACACATAGCCTAGTGAGAGAGAGAAAAAAAACTAGACAGGTAATTTTAAAAAGTGCTGAATGTTAGCCAGGCTCGGTGGCTCAGCCTGTAATCCCGTGCCTTTGGGAGGCTGAGGTAACTGGATTACCTGAGCCCGCGGGTTCGAGACCCGCCTGGGCAGCGAGACCTCATCTCTACAATAAATGAAAAAATCAGCCGGGCGTGGTAGCGCATGCCTGTAATTTCGGCTACTTGGAAGGCTGAGGCGGAAGGATCGCCGGAGCCCAGCAGATCGAGGCTGCAGTGGCTGGGAGCAGCCACTGCACTCCAGTCTGGGCAACAGAGTGAGACTCCAACTCAAAAAAAAAAAAAAAAAAGTGCTGAATGTTATCAAAGGAGAAGGTCTTACAGCTGTACGTGCAGGAAGCACTCATGTAGATCAGGAGGTCAGGGAAGACAATGCTATCACATGCTAGGATACAGTGGAAAAGAGCATAGAACTTTCCTGGCAGAGTCAAAAGTATATGGAAAGGCACTAAGGTCAGAGACTAGTTAGGAAGTTACTTCAGAGTCTAGGCTAGACACGTGCACAGTTGAGACTAGGAAAACAGCAATGAGGGAGACAAAATAAGTCAAGAAATTTTAGAGATAGAGTAAACAGGATTTGGTGATGGAGTACATATAAAAAGAGAAAGGTAGCCGAAAGGCCACTCCCTAGTTTTCTGGTTGGAGAAACTAGGTGGGCAGTGGTGCTCTGACTTCACTGAGTTAGGAACTCTGAGAAGAGATTACATGGGCACATTCTTACATCTGTGACTTCAGTTCATCTCACTTCCCCTAATATGCATACCTACCCCTCCTGCATTAGTTACTGTATATTCTTCATAAACCTGTCAACGGCCTCTTTAGTCTATACTAATAATCTCTTCTTACTCTGAAATTATGTCAACTTTTAATTCTCATCACACAGTTCAGTCCTTAAAACCATGTGCTCTAGTAGTAATGAGTGTCCTAGTTTTGCTTTTCAAATGATATTATTATAAGCTATGCAAAAGAAGAAATTATGTTGCATATTTCCTTCAATTGCTTCAGTAGGTACTCAATGATATTTTCTTTCTAATAAACACACACATCTATGTAGATAGGTAAACCATTAATATGCTCATATTCACATTCATATGTTTATATATACACATAAACCATTAATTATTTCTCATTCATAGGAAATGGAACTGAGAAATAAACCATGAAAGGTTATGGAGCCTAGGGTAATCAGTTTTTCCCCCATGTTAATCATTAAAGCCTTAAATAAAAATTAAATAATTCATGCTCTCTCCAAAGGCTTATGATAGCAAGATAGATTTCTTCAACACATATTAAATTACTTGTGAATCAGGAAAAAAAAAATACAGAGACTTTATAACAGATGTAGCATTATATTAGGACTTACCAAAAGAAAATGAACAACATCTCCTCTGCAAAAGGCAAGCATGGGATTCACATAATTATGCACTGCCACAAAATGCCAGGCCAGCAATGGAACACTAGAAGGATCCATCTAAGTGAGGAAAGAGAGAAAAAAAAGTCATCACAGTTAATAAACAGAACAGCCGGGCTCGGTGGCTCAGCCTGTAATCCCGCGGTGGCTCAGCCTATAATCCCGCGCCTTTGGGAGGCTGAGGTGAGTGGATTGCCTGAGCCCACAGGTTTGAGACCCGCCTGGGCAGTGAGACTTCATCTCTACAATAATTAAAAAAAATCAGTCAGGTGTGGTAGCGGATGCCTGTAATTCCAGCTACTTGGAAGGCTGAGGCGGAAGGATTGCCGGAGCCCAGCAGGTCGAGGCTGCAGTGGCCGGAAGCGGCCACTGCACTCGTCTGGGTGACAGAGTGAGACTCCAACTCAAAAAAATAAAAAATAAATAAATTAAATAAATAAACAGAAGAACAAAGAGAAAACTGGTTAAAAACAGCATCTGACTATTGTTCCTTAATGAAACTTTTCCCACTTTCTCATAAAAATTCCAGTGAAGCAAGGAGTGACCAGGACATGTCAGAAGGGAGCATGTTCTGTATCTTGACTGAGATTTGGGTTACAAAAGTGTATCCATTTGTCGAAGGTCAGCAACTGTATACTCAAGATTTGTGCTTTTTTTTGTATGTAAATTTTACACCAAAGGAAAAACCTAAACAAAGAATAAACTTTAATGATATGCATGCTGAATATTTAAGGGGAAGAAGTATAGGTTTCCACAATTTACTTTGATATACATTTTTAAAACATAGTTTGATGAGCAGTGAGATAGACGAACACATATGTAATGAAGAAAGTATAGCAAAATGTTAATGACAGAATTTAGATGGTAGGTATACAAGTGTTCAATGTGAAATTCTTACAACTTCTCTATTTGTTTGAAAATGTTCATCACAAATGTTAGAAAAAATATCAATAAAAACATACAAAAAGAAGCAATCATATGCCACCACAATAAAAACCTCAATGAACCTAAGAAATGTTAATGGCAATCTAAGCCAATTTTGCCATCAGAAAAAACATACTTGCATCCTCTGGGGCCCAGAGACACACAAAGTATCAACAAGAAAACAAAAGTGATCTCCCTCAGTATAGGGGTTTCTTTCTAAACTAGCCAGAGTTCTATACCACTATTCTCCATTCCATTCCATCCCATCCACACCTTTCCCTATATATATATATGAAGATCACAATTCTCTGAAAACAACTAAGCAGGAAAGAAAGGGGAGACCGGGGTATGAATAACACATTCTTGGAAGTATCATCCTCAAAGTAAAATATCAGAGGCAGAAGGTAAGAAAAGCAAGTATAGTTGCTATTTATGTTGGAAGGTACAGTGGGGTGGAGTCTACCAGTAGTTTAGTGTCAAAGCAACAACAATGACCATCATCCTGTCTCAGAATGGCAGTCACACACAAAAAAATGTTTTTCAAACATTGAAGACTAGGGCTTGGACTCAATACATCAATTTGTCCCCCAGCTTTAAATCTGATAAGGGAATTTAACTGCACTCAAAAGGGGAGTGAGTGAGCCTAGGAAAATCCATGCATGAAATTAGGTGTGACCACAAAATGCCAGGACAGCAATACATAGACTATCAAACTGAAGTTAAAAAAAAAAAAAAGCCAGTTGTATGCCATACAATGGTCTTTGAAGCAAGACTTTAATTCTACCTAGTTTTCTGACTATCTCGTATAATTAACCCTTTGCAAATCATTTCCCTCCACCTCCTAACATGGTCCATCCTTCTGCCAGTAAGATGGAGAAGCTTACTCACCCGACCATAGGGAAAAGTCATCCATACTTTCAAGGATGGTTTCAATCCAATGACCAGTATCTTTAGGAGAAAAAGACATTTTAATATTTACCTTGCAATTTTCAAAATTTTGGTATTCAAAGCCTATAAAAGCTATGAGCTTCATCTTCTAAATACATCTACCTTTGTTAAGGATGCCATGGCCAATAATGAAAACTGTGTGATCGGATGATCTTTCAATTCAGGCTTAGAATGTAGAGGCTCAATACAGCAAACTTCACCCTTGGAACCACTGAATAAACATCTAGATTCACATGTTCTCACTCCCATCACTCTCCTGAAAATGTAATTTAAAAAATTCAGAATCAATTTAGCAATGGCCCAAGGCACTACCATCTCTAGCACGGGATGACCTTAATAGCCTCCTAACTCCTGCTCTTATCCCTAACAATCTAAACTCCACAGTGACAGCAGTGTAATCATTTTATTACATAAGTCAGATCTACCACTCTTCTGCTAAAACACTCCATCAGCTTGCCACATAAAATCCAAACTCTTTCCCCTTGTCTTTAAAGGAGATGATCGGACTCCTGCCTTCACTCCTCTCCCACTACCGTACTCCTGACAAAGTCATGCTTCGGCCACACCTGCCTTCTGCCGCTGTTCCAGCAGGACAAGTTTGTGCCCATCTAAACCTTTTGTGTTCAAATGTTCCTCTGCCTGGAACTTTTCCTCCAGATCTTTGCATTTGTTGTCTGTCACATCATTCAGGTCTTTTTTCAAATGTTATGTTTCTGAGAGAGGCATTCCTGAGTTATTCTCAAGTACACTCTAGCATACTGACCCGTCTTCTTTTCTTCACAGCACTCATACTTAACTGAAGTGATTCCATTTATGGGTAGTTTTTCCATGTCTCTTTGCCCTCACCACAACTAGAACATAAGTTCTATTACAGCAGGAACAAAGGTTCACTGCTATAACTTTGAAATCTAGATAAGTGCCTATACATAGATGCTCAATAAACACTAGCTGAATAATAAAGCTATTTTTTAATAAATTAATTAGTGCTTAGTATTGTTAGAATCTACAAGAAATACAAGAAACAAAGATAGCTGTTAACCTTGAAGAACTTATGGAAACATAATACACAATGAATGTTATGTACTATTTTTTAAAAAACTCAGCTTCATAAATTTCTTTTATGTATCTAGATAGGCTTTTCTCTTATTTAAAGAGAAAACTGGACAATTCTAAGGCAATGAAAACCTTTTTTACACTTCCTCAGTATGGATGTAATCAACTAGGTCTTGGGCCTAAACCAAAATTAGTGAGCTATTCCAGAATAGTTTTTCCCAAGTTTAATAACACATAAGAATTCCCTGGGGAGTAGGAGTCCAGAATCCCAACTCAGATCTACTGAGATAAAACTTTGGAGTGCCAGTCCTTGAACTCCATATGGCCTATAAGCCTTCTCAAGTAATTATAATACACAGCCATAACATGTAATACAGTCATTCACATGCTTTGTTCATGTTCGATTTCAAATCATTAAACCACAGCTAGCCATTTCATTTGTCAAGAAATGTCCATTAGTCTCTTACTTAAATGTCAATTCAAACACAGAGCCTCCACTGTCATTGCAAATTGCAAGAGTTGGATCATCTGTAAACTAAACAGAGAAGGAATTTATTTTCTTGCAGATTTTTAAACAAACAACCAGTCAAGTATTGAGAAGGAGCAAAAAAATTTGAAAATCTGCAACACACACATTTAATAGGATTTTAAATAACCTAAGCTAGATTCACCTCACCATTCTAAACATATAAACTTACCTTTATTTAGAACAAAAATGGCTCAATGTCTTCTAAAAACTGAGGTTTTCAAAAAGCAAAGCCACTTTTCATCAGGATAAAAGACAAATACAAGCTAAATACAAAACCATAAGTTCTCTACTTGAATTCCTAACATTGACTTTTTAACAAATTGCTACTAAAAGAATAGGATCCTTTGGATACATCTGCAGTTGCCTAGATTTCAAGAATAAATACTCATTATAAATACTTGGTATCTTTGGGAGATAAACATGTCTAAATATGTTTTCTGAATAAGTGAAGAGTTGATCTGCTATAGCTAAAACATTTTAATGTTTTATATAATTCTTTCTAAAATGTGCTACCTCCTTGATATTCTTCCACAGAATATACTTCAGTTAATATTACCTAACCTAGAAAACTCAGAATAATAAATAAATAATGTTCACAATGACAGACAGTCTTAAAGTCATATGAGGTATGGTAAATGTTGCAGGATGCAAAATAGAATAACTTAATTTGTATCATATATAGTGACTAGCCTCCATAAACCCAAAGGTTAGTGAACCATCATAAATGGCTTGCCTCATGCTCTTAGGGATGGTTGCAGTACAGGAGGTCATAGTAAAATTACTCTTCCTCATCAACAAGGGTACCAGTATAACCAATGTTTGTATACCTAACCCTGAATTGTACCCCACATCTTTATAATAATAAAATAATAATAACAATAAAATTACTCTTCCTTGACCAACACATAGACATAGTAAAGAAGTCCTACACCTTTGCTTTCAAAGCCTGGATGAACAGTTGTCAAAGTAAAGCATATACCCTAGGAGTGTGCATGAGATGGTCCTCTGAAGTGTAGGAAAAAAATAACAGAACTTGTATTTCTATTTAATTTTCTCCTTCTTGTGTATGTGCTTTATAATGTACATAAAAATCAGCACAGTAGTACATTTATATAATTACACACACATACATGAATACCTATAAAGGATGTAAGCCAAAATTGTTACTGATGGGATGTAGAGTTAAGTTTGAAGAACAATGTGTAAGAGTATTGAAATGCAAGTGGCTGTTGTCAATCCAAGACTTCAAAAGTATTCAATCTCATTCAAATTCATATATATCTCTCTAATGTCAGAGTCTGCATGTACCACCTTCATCCATTCCCAAGCAACACAATGGCTCCTATTACTATGCTTTTAATCTCAGCTGCATTATTCTTTTCCCTCTGTATTTATCACTTCTGTTTTTTATTGTTTCTCCTAACATTTTTTTCCTGCAAAAAGGATTGCCCTTTTATAAATACCACCAACTAATTATTCCTTCAACCATTTATTGAGCAGCTACTATGGGTAAAACACAAAAATAAATAGCAAACATTCTGATTTCAAAGATCTTAATCTATTAAGAGAGATAGGGCAAACAACTTATAACATACTGGAAATTGGCACATGCCATATGAAAAGAGATCAAAGTAAATTACCATCATGATCTGAAAAAGGAGAAACTCTTTCCACTTTTACTTGCCTTGGTTGTTTTTACTGTTACTAAATGTTTCAATGCTGCTTTGTCACAAAGACTTTTTTGTAACTAACCTAGAAACATATAAACTCCAGATGCTTGCAGACTTTAAAAAGCATAGTATATGTATGGATGGGAGAGTTCGGCACAGCTAAGTAACAAAATGTGTACATGATTAAAATCTAGAAGATCTGATTTTAGACTTCCCTAGCTATAATCCTTTGCCTTTTATGCTTCTGAACATGGACTTGACAGCATGGAAGAATCAACGTTCACAATGTATTTATAAATGAAATCTGTACCTAAGTCAGTTTATTTTTTTCAGGTCTATAAGGAGAAAGCCAAGACTAGGATCTTAGTGCTTTCCCTTTAGAGTCCTGAAAGAAAATAAATAAATAGATTCATTCCTAAAGATAATCCAAACGCTGGTTCTTTCACAACTGGTGCCTTGAACCTCAAGCAACTCCCAACAAAAGGTGACAGAGCACACCACCTCAGCAATAAAATTTTGGCCAACTAAACAAAGGTGAAAAAGACATTTTAAAACCTTCATATGAGTTTCAGCAGGGTGCTGCCTGTCTTTACTGCCATCCTCTAGTCTAGGATCACATCAGCTTGCCCTTTTTGTTGCTATTATCTATTAAACTTCAACACAGCTTGAAGCTGAATACTTCCATACTTGCCTATATCTGGTTTTAACTTGGGAAAACATCATCTTTGGCTAGTCAAATAAAAGGTAGGTCAATTTAAGGTTTCTATTTATTTATAAGGTAATGTTCAGTTTCATGTTAAATATAGTTTTTGAACTTCTGATTATCAATATAGAGAAATTTACTTTAAAATCGACACAAAGGCATAATAAAAGTTATTAGAAAAAGAAAACAAAACTATTACCTTGATATGCAATATTGCTGTTCCTGGAGGATGAGCATCTGTTATTGATCTTAGAAGTTTTCCACTAGCCAAATCCCACATGGTGATCTATAAGACAACTAAGTGCTTTAAAAACAAATTTATTGCTCTTTTTTGGACTTAAGTATCCTGTCTTCTGGTTGAAATAATCTATTCCTGGTCTATAAACATTGCAAGCAAAGAGTTATAAAGTTAAAACACACCTCAAGTTTGCAGATCCATTAAACAGTGGAGTCTTTACTCCATCTTCACCCACGTGCCCAACCTACTTTTCCCTTTAGAAGTTAAATGTTCTTATACTGAGAGGTAAAATAAATTTCTCTAATAAGTCAATCTGTTTAGTACTGGTAAAAACTATAGGAAAGGCTTAATGCCAACCTAGCTAGTGATATATAAGTCAGAAGATGGGAAAAACTATAACATACAGCCAGTATCAGAAGTGGAAAGAAAGACATGCCAAAAGTTACCTAGGAACACAGAAGTAAGAAAACAGAAAGCAGAACCTAATGTATCTAAAAAAGCAGACACAATTATTTGCACCACTGTAAAAAAAAGATACTTTGTACAACACTCTGGTTTGTTTATAAAAGGTCTTTGCTCAAATAGACACATGAATTAGGATATAAAAAATTAAAGATTCTGGGTCATATCACTTCATAACACACATCTTTGAAATACTGGTCTATTAGTTTTTAAAAATGGATCTTATTTTAACATTAGCTTATGGACAAAAGAAAGTTCATATCTTACCTGTCCTTTAGCAAAGCCACAAAGAAGTCTTGAGCAGTCATTGTTGATACTGAGGGCAGAGATGGCTCCATACTGACCTCCAACACCAGTGCTACCCAGACAGAGTCGCAAAGCTTGATTCTGATCTAAGGAAAGCAGTTTGTAAAGTCAAGTAAAAGAAATGGAAGAGAGAGAATAAATACATATAAACAGGCATGTTTGCAAAGACTTGGGAGGTGACAAGAATTAAAAGAAGCAGATGACAGAGTCACATTCTTTTTAAAATGCATTTATTGAGCATCTAATAGATGCTGGGCATTGTCTTAGACACTAAGAACACAGAAAAAAACAAGATCTGCAAGGAAGTAGAATATAAAACTTGTCAGTGATAAGTCAAAAATTCCATAAGAAATCTGCACCTCCTTGAACAAACTATCTTTCATCTGTCTCATCCTGAATTGTATTTCTTGCCACTTTCAAGATGCAAGGTTACAGGTAATACTATCTTCTTTTAAAATAACTATAAAACTCCCGCGCCTTTGGGAGGCTGAGGTGAGTGGATTGCCTGAGCCCGTGGGTTCGAGACCTGCCTGGGCAACTTGGTGAGACCTCATCTCTACAATAAAATCAAAAATTAGCTGAGCGTGGTAGTACACGCCTGTAGTTCCAGCTACTTGGAAGGCTGAGGCAGAAGGATTGCTGGAGCCCAGCAGGTCGAGGCCGCGGTGGCCGGGAGCAGCCACTGTACACCAGTCGGGGCTACAGAGTGAGACTCCAACTCAAAAAAAAAAAAAAAAAAAGAACAAAACTATAAAACTTCAAAAATCAAAATGTATTAATTTAGAATTTGGCTGAAATTTACATTTATATTATCTGTGAAGAAAAGATTTACTAAGCAAATTAACAGTGCCAAAAAATTAGAGTAAACATTCAAACTAATCTAGAAAATTATTTGAAGCACAATATTTGATATGCTAAAAGCAAATGATTCAAATATCTACTAGATTGTTTTACTTATTTATTTTTATTTATTTTGAAAATGTGGGGGACAATTCAGGATTAGGAAGATAAGAAGTCATCATACAGATAAAGCTTGGGCCTCACTTTGGTCCCCACTTCGTCCAGTTTGAGATCAGATACCCTTATTGATTTCATGTGCCCTGTCCCCCCCATCCCCTGGCAGTGTTCCGCTACTGCCAAATGCTTTCTTATAGTATTATGTCTTTTGTTTTGTTTTGTTTGAGTTGGAGTCTCACTCTGTCACCCAGACTGGCGTGCACCACTTCCGGCCACTGCAGCCTCGACCTGCTGGGCTTCAGCGATCCTTCCCCCTCAGCCTCCCAAGTAGCTGGAACTACAGGCACACGCTATCACACCCGGTTAATTTTTTTTTATTTATTGTAGAGATGAGGTCTCGCCAAATTGCCCAGGCAGGTCTCGAACCCGCAGGCTCAAGCAATCCACTCACCTCAGCCTCCCAAAGCGCAGGATTACAGGCTCAGCCACCAAACCCGGCTAGTATTATGTTTTTTAATGGCAAGGATCATGCCTTAGTCACCTCTGATTTTTCCAGAAGGCACGCAAGCATTTATTAAATTTTATTATCTAATAATTTTTTTAAATTCCTCTAGGACTTCTCCTAGGCAACATCCCAGCACTTGTTCGTGCTCCCCTTATCTATCTACATGCAAGTTTTTGCATATGTCTTGCTCCCCCCATCAGACTATGAGGACTAAGTCCCCCTTTGAGAACTAAGATTATGAGTGAATTAAGACTCCCAGAATACCGTGCTTGGTGCCCTGCACTCAAAAGGCATCTGACAATCAGCTGACTAGCCTTCTCATTTGCAAATTCTCCCTCTATAAGAGTAAGTCTAGGCCGGGCTCGGTGGCTCAGCCTGTAATCTCAGCACTTCGGGAGGCTGAGGTGAGTGGATTGCCTGAGCCTGTGGGTTCGAGATCCGCCTAGGCAACTTGGCGAGACCTCGTCTCTACAATAAATCAAAAACTAGCCGGGCGTGGTAGCGCGCGCCTGTAGTTCCAACTACCTGGAAGGCTGAGGCGGAAGGATCGCCGGAGCCCAGCAGGTGGAGGCTGCGGTGGCCGGGAGCGTGCCACTTCCAGTCTGGCCTACAGAGTGAAACTCCAACTCAAAAAAAAAAAAAAAAAAAGAGTAAATCTAGCTGTCAGAGCCTAAAGATATTCATTCTCAGGTCTAGGGAATAATATTAGGTATATCCTTTTGCCCATCCAAAGTAAACACTGTAAGAGTATTTTTCTGTGTTCATAAACTGGCTCAAATAGCAATCCCTCTTCCCCCATGAGTTCTGAAACAATTAATGGCTGTACTGTATCTAACACATAGAAAATACTCGATTTTTAAAACTGTTTTGGACTTTAATCTTTCAAGAGGAACATCTGAAAAGGAATAAAACTCAAATATACAAGATCTGATTATTTTAAAAGTCACTATCACCATTCACATTTAGAATTATATAATTAAAGATAATGTTCAATACATCTAGACTGGTCTCTCCCCTGATTTTTCCTCCCTCCCTCAATTTCATTCAAATTATTATTTTTGAGTTGGAGTCTCACTCTGTCAGCCAGGCTGGAGTACAGTGGCATGCTCACAGTCACCCCAAAGTCGACCCACTGGGCTCCGGCGATCCTTCCCCTCAGTCTTCCAAGTAGCCGGCACTACAGGCACTCACCTACTGTACCCAGCTAATTTTTTTTTGTAGAGACGAGGTCTCACCAAGTTGCCTGGGCTGGTCTCAAACCCACAGGCTCAGGCGATCCACCCGCCTCGGCCTCCCAAAGTGCTGGGATTACAGGCTGAGCCACCAAGTCCAGTCTAATTCAAATTATTAAGAGTTTCTTTTTATTCTACCATTTTCCTGACTCTAAATATTACCTCACATTTTATTTTGCTCTGCTGAAATTGCCTGCCTAAAACTGTTTTCCATGATCCTTATTTCGTCAAGGTCACCTTATATAGTTAGTGGATTATCCACATATCTTAATTTGCAAACTGTCATGATATGATAGTTGGGTGATAGTATCTATATATACTACTACTTTGGGTCACATGTATAGGCACAGATGGACTGAAAGTAAGAGGACAAAAATAGAGGCTGGTATAAATTTCAGTCCCTTGAGTTTGTATTTCCTGCCTTCCAGGTACAGAGCAGTGTCCAAACAGCATGCTGCTGATCCTTCGTAGTCCCTGTTTTGAGATCCAAACTTCATAGGGTTCTGATCCATCCATACTTAAAGACACTCACTACCACTTTCCAATTTAATCAAGCTCATGTTTTAAATTAGACAATTTAAGTATTCTTATAAGGCACAATAAGCATGAACAAGAGACTTGAGGAGTATGGTAAAAAAGAAAATAAGGGTATCATTAAGAGGAAATAGAAAAGAGTGGCAATGGATGAAATGCAGGAAGAAAAAGGACATACCTAACTTCTAAATTAAAAACCAAACCAAGCTTTCCTATCGTTCCCACATACTAAAAACCAACTAAGATGGGAACTAAATTATCAAACTTGGCTACTCCTGAAATATGTATTAATTTTACATTCCACCAACCTGTGTTAATAAAAATATTCTCAATTTTTTTCTTGATTTTCACATATATTTGTTATCTTTATAATGTCTCTTTAAAAGGTAATATGACTGTGAAAACAGATACCTGAATTTTAATCCCATTCCTATTCCCAAAGAGTTACAGGCGTCATTACTACAGTATCTGGGTAATTTTAGGAATATTACTTAAATTTGCTTAACCTCCCTATCTTTATCTGTAAAATGTAGAAAAATGCCCATTACCTCATTGCATTGCTAAGAGAAATAAATTAGTAAAGTAAGATAAGGCACAAAGGAACCAACTCAATGTCCCTCGAATATTATTTTAATATTATTATTATAGGTTCTCATCACAAACTAATTTATAAATTATGTTCACACACACATTAAACAAAACAGCAGATGGTGGTGAAAGAGGTAATAAACAGTGTATCAAATGTAATCTACTTTAACTCCACAAAAATATTTATCAGCTCTTATTTCTATTTTTGTACATTCTATCTGTATAGTACCATATTAACAAACTTGCTATTATATAATTTAGACTAAATTCAGAAAAGATAGAATTTCTATGGAAAGAAGAAAACAAAGTCTTACTGAAGCTCCTGCTAGAGTAACTAAACATTCTGTAGTCTAGATAATTCTGGGAAAGGGTATTTAACCAAAATAAACATAAAAACGCTTTAAAATACTTAAATTCTATTGCTACATGGAAAGAACATGGACCTGGGCAGAAGTAAGAAAGGTGAAAATCAGAGCCCTCTCCAGGTTATTCTTGATCTCATTAATTTCTTAAAAATCTATTCTCCCTCTCCTTTCTGAATTTTCCTTTGTCTACTGTTGGAAAAAAGGTATTAAATTAATAGTATATCTAATTTCATTTACAAGGCTACATAAAAGTACAGTTGGTTGGTCTTGTCAACTTAGAATTTAAAAAAAATCAGAATGGATCTTTACAAAAGTGACCCTGAGCAAGAAATATGCAACGAGACTATCACTTTTCCTATACCCTTCACTGAGTTGACACAGAGCATGAAAACTATCAAATGGTACAATGCAAAAAATTAGGAATAACAATAATATAGCTTACCAATTAAGAGAACTTGAAGCCCAAATATCACAAAATACACATTTATTTGATACTGCACTGAATTATGCCTATATCTTTTATTAGTATATCTTTCAAAGTACACTTTGCTTAGGGTTGATGTCTTTAGCATATGAGGCTTAAGAGTAATATGCTGACAATGAGTATGTTTGGGCTGAGGGAAAAAAAAGGAAGAGTAATGTGTTGAATAGCAAAGAAAAGTCACAAATAACATATGAAATTTATAATAGCCCCAAAATCTAAATTTGAACATACTTCAAAAATTTCTGCTAACTCATTTCATCTGCCAAAATTAGTTCAATTTTTTTATTTTTATTTTTTTTTGAGTTGGAGTCTCACTCTGCTGCCCAAGTTGGAGTACAGTGGAACGAACACTCACAGTCACCCCAGCATCGACTTGCTGGGCTCAGGTGATCCTTCCACCTCAGTCTTTCAAGTAGCCGGAACTACAGGTGTGCACTACTATGTCCAGTTAATTTTTTATATATTGTAGAGATGAGGTCTTGCCAAGTTGCCCAAGCTGATCTCGAACCCACAGGCTCAGGCAATCCTCTCACCTCAGCTTCCTAAAGTGCTGGGATTACAGGTTCAACCACCGAGTTCGGCCCCAATACTCTATTTGTTTACCCCTAATTTGTTTTAATTATCAGTTCCCAGAAACTACCAAAAAAGAAAATACCTATATCCTAGAAGGAATCTAATTTAATTGTGTGTATAGAACTCTATTTTATCTGCCAGTATTCATCATTCTTCAATCCTACTCTTTTCTTATCCTTTATTTAACTAAATTTTCTTCAGGACTAAGGAGGATGAGGAAAAGAGATCTTATTAGGAAACATTCTTCATCAATAATCACCAAACAGTAGAAGGACTTTAACCTGAACTCCATCTAACCTACTCACAAAAGTAAAGCTCTCCTTCTTCTGTAAAGCTTACTGACTGAAGCCAGGACACACTGAACCCCCATGGCTAACTGGCTCTCTTCAAGAAAGCTGATGCTTACTAAGAGTCAGTTGTGTTCATTCCCAAACCTGTTTATGTCACTGTAATGTTACTATGCTTTAATACTTAAACAGTATATCAACTGATGAAATACAGGGAAAAAAACAAGAGTTGTTGCTTCTATGAACACTAAACGAACGCTTTAGAAAAACTTAGTAAAGATAAATTGCTTTACAAAAGTGTCACAAAATGAGGTTTTGACAAGATGATGGTAAAAGATTAAAAGAAAGTTTTGATAAAATCTAGAATTTTTCACTCATTGATTCACAGACAAGTAAGCTTTTACCTCATTTTTAAAAAATTAAAACTACAAATCCTACATGACCCATTATTGATTAATTTTATGCCAAAAAAGATACTGCAGACCTCCAACTGGCAGATACAAACTCAAAGAAAAAACTTGGGACTGCATCAAAAGATTAGGGGACAATACAAATTTGCATATTTTCGGTTAAAATAAAACATTGAAGATATACATATATTTTACAGTTTTTCTGCTTTAACCAATTGTTCTATTAGGCGGGATTTTTGTCAATAAAGTCTACAAAAGAGGGCACTAACTATAATTGATAGCATTCTCTTCCAGCATTAAAAAGGTCAAAATAAAAAACCACTCATACAAACTAAAATTACTATACCTTTTCCTTTTGAATCCATGAAGAAAAGAATAAAAGAGAGAGAGAAGAAATCAGTTCAGAGAAAAGGCAGGTAAAAATCTCAAGAGTATAAGTGGTGAGCTTTAGTTATTTGTAGGAATGACACAAAGTATGATTAAGTGATGTCTCTAGCATTCATGATTATATTAAAGTATGGGTTATAGGAAAAGAAAAATGCATATAATTCAAATTATAGCACAGTAAGTAAATTCATGTTTAAGTTAGTCAGAAACAAAAACTATATCAAAAAGATAATCTATTAAAGTATACAAACAACCCCCAAAAATGAAAAACTAAGGATCTTAGGTAGGGAAATATCTTTATTAAGATTTAAACTTTTGAGACTCTGTATAAGGTAAGAGCCAAGATATTTTTTAAATGTCATATACCTATATTTCTACAAGAGTAGGCAATAAACATCAGCCTGTAAAAAACTCATAATGATTTCTATTTTAATGATCTGGGATTCTATTTCAGAGAATCAAATGATTCTTAAAGAAGTATAGTTCTTCCTGCTACACTTTCTCCTATGATCAACACAGATGTTTAAAAGAGATCAAATCTAACCCAGACTTCTAATCTAGACACTTTATAGTATTACTACCCTGCCATTTGTTCCTGGACTTTCAAACATATTTTAATCCATCTGTTAAAACACATTGTCCTAACATCTGATTCTAATAAACAATGAGTTAAGTTTATTAACCACACTATTAAAATCCAAAGCACAACTAGAATATCATGACTCGTTCTCAAAATGTTCACCTTGGCATACTTTCTCTTCCATGAAACTATAATGAAAGATCACCATTTCCTCATATCTACAAGAAAGCTGTTGGGGTATTGAAAAGTCAGGAAGCAGGCCCGAGGAAATTAAAAAGACAGTATCAAAAGATAATGTACTTTTTTCCTCTGTTAGTTTTTATTTTTGAAATGTTCATTTTAATTTGTTTGCAATAAGTTCTACATAAGTTTGATTACAGTCATATATTCTTATAACCTCTTGTTAAGACAAGGCTATCAGAGCAGATAGAGTTGAGGAAAGTGAGCACTGGAAAGTGATTCCAAAAAATCTACATGCATTCTACTGACAGGTAAACATATGCATTGCATTCTGTCCTCATTCAACTTAGTACTTCTATTTTCTTCACATCTTGGAATTTGCCTCTTTTTCTCGCAGGACAGCAGGAATGCTTAGAATAGTGAAAATACTGACAATAAGATTCAGTATTCCTTGATTCCGAACTTGGCTCTGTGCATGTCATTTAACCTCGCTGATCCTCAATCATTTCATATGTAAAGGAAGAGGAATGAACTAAAAAACCTTATAAAATTCATTCCCACAATTTTATTTTTTTGAGTTGGAGTCACTGTCGCCCAGACTGGAGTGCAGTGGCCACTCCCAGCCACCGCAGCCTCGACCTGCTGGGCTCCGGCGATCCTTTCGCCTCAGCCTTCCAAGTAGCTGGAACTACAGGCGCGCGCTACCACGCCTGGCTAATTTTTTGATTTATTGTAGAGATGAGGTCTCGCCTGCCCAGGCGGGTCTCGAATCCGTGGGCTCAGGCAATCCACTCACCTCAGCCTCCCAAAGGCATGGGATTACAGGCTGAGCCACCGAGTCCGGCTCACAATTCTATTTAATACAAATTATGCCCCCATAGGAAAATAATCATCCCGACACGTGACAGGAGAGCAAATTGGTAAAACTTTTCTAGGAGGCAACTAGGCAGTATATATGAAAAAGTCCTTAATGTTCATCTCTTGACAAATGTTTATCTCCCAAGCAATTCCACTTTTATAAATTTGTCTTAAGAAAGCAATCATGTGCACAAAAATGTAGTAACAAAGATATTTGTCACACTATTGTTTGTTTATAAACAATCTAAATGTCTTACAATGAGAAATGAAGTAAATGATGTAATTCCATTTAATAGAATACTATGTAGTCATTAAAATGTTATAGACAAATATATAATTGCATGGAAGATGCCCATTATAATGAAAAGCATGTTACAAATTAACATGATCCCATTTGGGGATGTATACATACAAGCACTACAGAAAAACACACTATAAGGTTATACAAAAATGTTAAGGATTATTCCAAAATGGTAGAATTTAGTATTTTATATCTTCAGCTTTTTGCCACCTATATTTTCAAATTTTTCTACGAATATATGTCAATTAGGTAGTCTTTAAATTTTCAAAGTTTTCTACTATGAATATATATCAATTAGATAGTCTTTAAAGGTAATTTTCAAAGTATCAATTCTTAGGTTCTCTCAAGGCAATTATAATTTTGTTTCTATTCTTCTGGTCACCAAATGATTAAACTCTATTATTTAAATCAATCACCTTTAAAAAAAACAAAGAAAGGAATAGCCTTTGAAAAGCCTAGGTTTTTAACTACATGTTTAAAAAGCTTTTGGCACAGCAGAAAATTTACAAATAGTAATTCAAATTGTTCAAAAGCAATGCAAAATAACTAGTTATCCACTTATATGTTAAATAAAGATGCAAAGCCCCACAGAGATCAAACTGCAGTTCTGCTATTAAAATATCCTCAAGTAATCCTTATAGATTATTCCGCAGATTCTTTCCTAAATATGTCATTGTGAATTCCATTTAAGATAGATGCAAAAGAGTCAATAACCAGAAGAGAACACTAAAAATGGCATAAAAATATTATCTAATACTTTTTAAATAAAAAAGAACAAAATATTCTGCTCATATATTGAATTAAAAAACAAAGAAGGATTAACAAAACAGGGTTTATTTAGCGTCAGGTAGAAAAAAATGAGAGAATACAACTACCATCTACTATTCAGATAAAATTAATTAAGTTCTCTTTTCAACCAAGAAAGCAATGTAATTATGGGCCAAAAATATTTCAATTTAGAGGAACATACAATGGAAATTAAAATGAGCTTAATGACAGTGAGAGTTACTGAAAATTACTGAGAAAGCCTGGGAAATCTCTTTCTCTGAATATCTTTTAGACTATTCATTAATAGGACATGATTTAGAAGAAAAAAAAAGTTACCACCAACAACAACTGGAGGCAGACAGGATGACAACCTAAAGTTTCTTTCAACTTTACTCCTTTTGTTGAGGTTAAGAGAGTTGACAGATATGATAGTTTATAAATTCATAAAGAAGAAGATAAACTTGCGAAACAAAGCTGTGAGTCAAGTAATTTTTAACTATAAAAATATTGACTGCTACTTTTCAAGTTTTTATAGTTTTGTTCAAGAAAATAAAGTATGCTATATAAACTGTGATTAAAGAACATTATAAAATCCCAAATGACACTTAATATTTAAAAGCAGGTTAAGTACTTAGAAATTTACCAAATATTAAAGCCAATCCATGAGATGTACCCACTGCTATCAGACTGGACACTGCCTGAAAACAAAAAGGAAGATTGCATTTTAAGATATCATATCAAGGATCTTGAAATAATCAGATGTGTTGTTCTTCCTTCCTCTAGGCACTAGATGACATACAAACTATTCTATGCTGTATAAGAGAATTTCATCTAGGAGGCAAAACCGGAAATGAAACTCAGGACATCTTATTTCCAAGAATCCCTCTAAATTTACTCTTCTAGTAGCACTATCAAAATATCATATGTTCAACATTATGGGCAAAAACATGACACTTAGCTTCCCTCTAAAGCATCTTTAAAATAAAAAAAATCAAGGGTCCAAAGTAAGAGGCACTTACACTACCCAACCAAGAGCCTCCTACAAGGTGTAGGGAAAAGATGAGAATGTTCTTCTCCACTTTATCCACAGGAGCCAAAAGACACCAGAAATGTTCAAAATCCAGCCCACCAAATGACTAATAAGAAAGCAACAGGAGGTGCTGGAAGGAGGCAAAAAAAGAGAGCACCAGTGTACTTTCAATGTCCCCACGTTCTCTACAACCACACACAGATTTACTATGTGGCAAGCTTGGCAATGGAATCCAGAGCTGCTAAATGTACTATTTACCACAAAGTGATTTTCCCAAATGATGTTTTCCACTCCCTCTAACAGAAAGAAAGCCAAATCACAAAAGACAAATTTACTTGGGCAGGGTAGACCACATACAAATAAACCTGGAGAAGACTAATCATTATTCCATTATCCGCTTCTCAAACAAAAGCCTGAAAAGTAACAATAAATTAGAAAAAAAGAACACATTCAACATGGACAAATTTTAAGCCTGATTGCTGGCAGCAAACTGACTTATAAATTTATTATTATAATTTATGTAATAACTTTGAACATTATAAAAATAAACCTTAAAAAACCCTATTAAATAAAAGGCTTATCTTTAAAAAGTTAAAGTATACTTACAATTGCTGTAGGCAAGCCAGCATCCACTTTGTCCTAAATGAAATTTTAAAGAAAGTATTTGAAAAGATATTTTCATTTTAAAACAAATTGGCATAAGGCTCTCTTCAAACAAGAGGTATAACTTTCATTTTTGCCCCCAACTAAGAAAAATTACAAAAGCTGTATATATCAACAAAACACAAAAAGCATGAAAGTAAATCGTTTTATTTTACTGACTATATCAGACGCTTCAGGGAAGGTACAGATTATAAATGGAAATGTTAAGGAAAAACAGGAAAGATAGTCCATTTCTTATATTGTAAATAAACTGTAAGTGCCAAGAGGTCAAAATAGGAGCACATAAAGATTTGAGAAAACATGCTAAAAGCTAAAAGTGTTTCTGCCTCTAAGTAGGAGTTTCCTATCTAGCAGATTACCAAATAACCTCTAATAAAACCCCAGTAGGGTATATTAAATCAGTTCTCAAGTATAAGAATGTAAAACATAAAGTGCTAGTCCCAGCTCCTTTCCAGTAACTATATGACCTTGGGAAAGTCACCTAACTTTTCTGAGTATAAGTCTCCTCTTCTATTCAGAGAAGTACAAAATATTGCCCTATTTACCTCAGTGAGGAAATTTGTCCTACAAATCAAATTAAATGTAAAGAATGATATAAATGTAAGCGTGTTTGATGTTTATATTGCTTTTTTTTTTTTTTTTTTTTGAGTTGGAGTCTCACTCTCTCGCCCAGATTGGAGTGCAGTGGCCGCTTCCGGCCACCACAGCGTCGACCTGCTGGGCTCCGGCGATCCTTCCGCCTCAGCCTTCCGAGTAGCCGGAATTACAGGCAAGCGCTACCACGCCCGGCTGATTTTTTGATTTATTGTAGAGATGAGGTCTCGCTGCCCAGGTGGGTCTCAAACCCGTGGGCTCAGGCAATCCACTCACCTCAGCCTCCCAAAGGCGCGGGATTACAGACTGAGCCACCGAGCCCAGCTTATATTGCTTTAAATAATAAAAACAGCTTGCAGAGATTATAAGCACTGTAATAGTAAAGAGTTTTCACATATATACATTATTATTTGATTCTCAAACCTGGAGAGATAGATAGAACAACCATTATTATTCTGATTTTCCAGATTAAGTAAATAGATATCTCAAAGAGTTTAAGTGATTTCTCAAAGAGTTTAAGTGGTAGAACTATGTCTCAAACTCAGGCCTTCCAGTTTCCAGGCCTCTTTATATCACTTTCACATCTTTTCTATGTCTGTTCTTATCAATGTGGTCACTTAGTTACCACCATCTCTCAGAAGGCAAAATATATATACATATTTAACCAACTTTGTAGAGCTTCCTGGGAACTAATTTAAGAAACTTCTTCCAGTGCATGGAAACATAGCTAAGAACAATCACCAAGGCTGCTGTACACAATGTTCTACATAGCGGCACATACTCAACTTTGTGTGTATGTGTGTGTAAGTAAAATATGCCTAATGAAAAGCTCAATAAACTGGGCTCGGTGGCTCAGTCTGTAATCCCGCACCTTGGGAGGCTGAAGTGAATGGATTGCCTGAGCCTGCAGGTTCGAGACCCGCCTGGGTAACTTGGTGAGACCTCATCTCTACAATAAATCAAAAAACTAGCCGGGCATGGTAGCGCATGCCTGTAGTTCCAGCTCCTTGGAAGGCTGAGGCGGAAGGATTGCCGGAGCCCAGCAGGTCGAGGCTGCAGTAGCCGGGAGCGGCCACTGTACTCCAGTCTGGGCGACAGAGTGAGACTCCAACTCAAAAAAAAAAAAAAGCAAGCAATAATTAAGAAGCATGCAATAAATATTTGACAAATAACTGACTTGTGTCCTAGACAGGGAAAAAGAGAAGCGGAACAGCAGATGAAGAATATAAACTAAAGTAAGTCCTCACTTAACACAACACAGTTCTTGGAAACTGACTTTAAGCAAAACAACTTACAACAAATGAATTTTTTTTCTCATCAATGTTATAACAAAATGACAGTGAATGAAATGATGTTATTCGAAGACCTGATCTATATTCAAAATGGAAACTGAAAAATGAAATCAGAAGTCACCTGACTTCAAAAGTTAAAAAAGCACAGATGTTTGGATACATTTTAGAGATTACAAAATTTTAGTACTGGTGTTTCAACATCTGAAGGTAGTGATTTTCAAAAGCCAAAGTGCATCAGAATCACCTGGAATGACTCTTAAAATGCAGTTCCCTATGCTACACTGCTAGAGTCCAATTCAGTAAGTCTGAGGTGACCTCCAGTAATCGGTATTTTAATGAGCCCAGGAAATTCTTATACATTGGACACATTTGAAAAAAACACTGCTAAGGTATCTCTAGTATCTTAAAGTGATAAAGATCCTCAAAAACTTCATTTGAATTATTTTAAAATATAATCACATCGTATTACTTTGAGAATTAAGCAACGAGGTTTACAACTCCACAGCAGGGGATCAAGGCCCTAAGAAGCCCTAATAACATCACTAACCACATGGCTGAAGGTACTATTGAACAATTCTTTAGAAGAAATGTCCAAAATATAACTAGCTTTACATGTTAATAAACCAACCATCACAGAAAAGCATGCAATTTAAATTGAGCTGGAAATCCAAAAATAGGAAGGCACCGTATGATGACTGTCACAGGAAAAGCAGTTTTCATTTTAACATACCAAAGGAGCTCAGCCATAGCAATGAAATAAAAACAGAATGCAAACACTCTGGGATTTATTAGAATTTTCCCCCTCCTCTTCAAGAGGAAGGAGAAACCCTTTTAAATAACAGATTTATCTAATCATTGTTCAGAGTCTGAGTTTTAGTTCAGTCTCCATTATTCAAAATATTTTTAAAACTGCACAGGTGGGTCAAATGACTGTTCTGGTTCATCTTGATTTTGAAAGGAATGAATTTCATCACCTACATAAGGATTAAATTCAGAAAACGTCATGGAAATGTAATCCACAACAGGTGGTTCCCATTCTAGCAAATCTGAGTTACTCTCCACCTAAAAGAGGACAATTGCCCAGGTTTCCTCCACTGCTTGACCATCTCTCTATTTAAATTGACTTCATGATATATGAGCTGGGTCAGACTATACCAAGTGTCACAGTAAATTTTTTTTTTTTGGTATCTGATAAATCTGAAAACTGCAATGCAACTGTGCTATCTTGATGCCATTGCTGTATCAATCTCTTGTCCTCCTGAAAAAATCAAAACTTTTATTTCTTGTCCAAATTGGATATGCAAAATTATAAACTCCATAAAAGAACATAACAACACATCAAAGTTCCTGGAGTATGACTATTATTATTATTATTATTATATACAGAATCTATATATTGAGTTCAGAAAACCAGAATTCAAAGACTACAGAAAACTATGGGTTTTGAGGTCAAAGGAAGTTTGATCAGTGTCTACTGTCTTGATGGACTACTAAATATTTTTTACATTACCCCAGTGCTCTAAATCATTTCCAAAAATGATATTCTGTTCCAGTCATTATACATTGGCCACATTCACCAACATCACCTACATTTCACAACAAAGAGGCACTACACTTGGAGCCAGAAACTCCAATTTTGAGTAATTTCTCTGTTATCTCCTAACCAAATGATGTCAGACAAGTTAATATCACCTCCCTGAGCCTATCTTCTCATTTGGAAAATAGGATATGGCTTTACCTACTTTCAAAGTTGTAAGAATAAGTGAAATAAGGTATATGAAAAGACTTTTGTGAATTATAAGAAAAAATCATTCAGTTGTAGCCGGACTCGGTGGCTCAGCCTGTAATCCCGCACCTTTGGGAGGCTGAGGTGAGTGGATTGCCTGAGCCCGCGGGTTCGAGACCCGCCTGGGCAACTTGACAAGCCCTCATCTCTACAATAAATAAAAAAATCAGCCGGGCATGGTAGCGCGTGCCTGTAGTTTCAGTTACTTGGAAGGCTGAGGCGGAAGGATCGCCGGAGCCCAGCAGGTCGAGGCTGCGGTGGCCGGGAGTGGCCATTGCACTCCTGTCTGGGTGACAGAGTGAGACTCCAACTCAAAAAAAAAAAAAAAAAAATCATTCAGTTGTAAAAGATTCCAATCAATCATTTCTCAATATGAAAAGACAAAAAACAAGCACTCTACCTCAATCAAATCGTATACAAAATAGCAACTGAGCTAAAAAGGAATTTAAAGAAAAGGCAGATAACGTTTATTTTAGGCTTACTGCCATATTTCATTTAGGCACACCCGAGACTCTGAGCAGACCTTTATTTTCATGGCTGCACTAGTTTCTATGTCAAGATGTGTAGCCATTCTTATGAGTCAAAAATAATCACACAAAAACCATGAAAGCCAGATTCTATTTTTCTTAAGCCTCAGGCTAAGAGAAGTGCTGTGCTTTGTTTTATGCTCATTCCTACTTCATTATGCCATTGCAGGTTATAAAGTTGGGGGAAAAGAACAAAATACTTACAGCTGCAGACACTATCTGGGCAGAAATTCCCTTCAAAAGTGAATGTCGCATAACTGATCCATGGAGAGAAAAAGAATCAGGTAATTTCTTCTTCCTAAAAAAAATGAAAACGTTTAAGAACAGACAAAAAAATTGAAAAGGCCGGGTCCTGATGCTTTGAAGGAATACAAAAAAGTAAGAAAAGTAGAAACCAACACTGCAGGCAATTTGTTAGTTCTGTGTTAAAAAGAGGTATAGCAGGCACAGAAGCTCATGCCTATAACCCAAGCACTTTGGGAGACTGAGACTGGAGGATCACTTGAAGCCAGGAGTGCGAGATCAGCCTGGCCAACATAGCAAGACCCCCATCTCTATAAAGATATAAATAAATTATCCCCCCAAAATAAAGGCAATACAAAGAAGTATAAAGAATCTAACAGTCCTATATTAAAATGTTATACTAAACCCACTTTGAACCTTAGAGAAGCACAAGCAGGAAATGAACCTTTTTCACTGGCTCAAACAGTTCCTTGCCCACCTCAAGTAATGCAGCAATAGGTTCTGCAGCTCTCCAGAAGGCTGCCTAGAGAACACTCCTCCAGCCTACAAGTCTACAGTACCTCTACTGCCTTCCCACTTTGCTCACCTTCTTTGCCCTTCTCCTGTCTTTGGCCAGTCTCTCATTCCGCAAACAACTTCCTCAAATTCCCCACTCTTTCCTCACTCTCTGTTGCTCCTACTAATGGTTCTTCTCACTTACCCTACTCACCATCATACAAAAAGTGATTTTTAAACTTTTACCAAACATTACAATGATACAGCACATACTCTGTATCATTACAAGTATATTCTGAAGACGCACTCAATGGCTCAGCCTGTAATCCCGCACCTTGGGAGGCTGAGGTGAGTGGACTGCCTGAGCCCGTGGGTTCGAGACCCGCCTGGGCAACTTGGTGAGACCTCATCTCTACAATAAATCAAAAAATTAGCCGGGTGTGGTAGCCCATGCCTGTAGTTCCAGCTACTTGGAAGGCTGAGGCGGGAGGATGGCCGGAGCCCAGCAGGTCGAGGCTGTGATGGCCAGGAGCATGCCACTGCACTCCAGTCTGGGCGACAGAGTGAGACTCCAACTCAAAAAAAAAAAGTATGTTCTGGCCGGGCGCAGTGGCTCAGCCTGTAATCCCAGCACTTTGGGAGGCCAAGCAAAAGGACTGCCTCAGTCCAGGGGTTCAAGACCCAGCCTGGACAACTTGGTGAGACCTCGTCTCTATAATAAATCACAAAAATTAGCCGGGCATAGTATATGCATCTGTAGTTCCAGTTACTTGGAAGGCTGAGGCAGAAGGATCGCCTAAGCCCAGCAGGTCGAAGCTGCGGTGGTCATGAGCATGCCACTGCACTTCAGCCTGGGCAACAGAATGAGACTTCAACTCAACAACAACAAAAAAGTATGTTCTGGCAATACAGAAATAAGGAAGCCACAGTTACTACTGTCAAGGATCCCACAGCTTAGTTAGAGAGACTGACAAGTAACTCAAACTGAAGGATAAATGTTAGACTAGAAATATGAATAAAGTACCAAATAAATGCAGATGAAGAAGAGCTTAATTCTGTTTATTTGGGGGATATCAGGGATAACTAGGGGAAAAAAAAAGATGTCTGATTTGGCCTCGATGGATGACTAGGAGTCTGTCAGGCAAAAAGTCCAAGGAGAAATATGAAGATGTAAAGGTGCACAGTGTGTCAGGGGAGTCATGAACATACAAAAGGCCTGGGAGGACTGGAGTGGGAGTGCTGAGAGATTAGGACAAAATGGTCAGCAGGGTCCAGACTGATGGCCACCAGAGGAGTTCTGATACCAACTTATAATAGGCAACAAGATGACACCTTGTTGCCTATCTTTTAAGCAGGTAGTGACCAGATCATCAGAAACATTCACATTATCTATTTGAAGGACACAATGCTGAACAGGTTAACATATCCAGCAACGGCCCCTATACCACAACAGATGGTAACCTAAAGAAGACAGAACTGATATAGGCAAATATAAGAAGAGGGAAAATACACAGAATAGTTTATCAATATTAAAGTCACACATGAATTCAATAATGTATTTATATTATGATCTCTTCACTTCTCCTTCCTTTTCATGTTCTCTCCAAGAATGTGGAAGGTGAAAAGCAGCCAAAATTGAAGTTATTTAGGTTAGAAGTCCTTTTTCCAAATCTTTAATCATCTCTGTGATTCTCCTCTGAACCCACTCCAAGAGATGAAGGAATGCTGGGGCTGACCTTAGGGAGTAGAGAGAGGCATACAAAGAACAGAAGGATGGTGAACCAAGCTCCATGTTTCCACCACAGACACTGTGCCAGCCTTGAGCTGTGCTCCCTCGAAGGGCTCCACTGCTTCTAGGAGTCCCTGGTTATTATTATGACTTCCTACTGTGGCTTCAGAAGACAGTGGTCAAGGCCCTTTTATCTTCTCCCTCAACAGTGCAAAGTCTTTAGGATTTAATAAGCATATTATTTCCATACAAATAGACCTTCTACTTCCCGTGCAGGGCTTCAACAGACCATATTCTACCTTAAAAAGATATTTACACTTGAAATGATCAAATATTTCAACCACATGTAAGTGTGATTGACATGGATACCTACCTTTTTAAGTTAGTCCTGTCACCACTGTCGGAGCTTGCCACAGATGACGTATCATAAGAGTGGGAATCAATAGTATCAATGTTTAACAATGTAGGATCCTCGAGAACAAAAGACTCATCTTCATCATCAGTCTAAATTGGAAAAAGATAGATCAATAAATTCAAAATACTCTATGAAACAAGTCAGGCATCAATGGGTTTCTCCAAAGCACTCTGCTTTTCACCTCTATTCCATACATTTTTATTGACCAGCGAGACATAGTACAGAATTACCAGAATTAAACTCTAGATAGGTATCTCTCTCCACAGAGAATTTATCCAAAAACTTCTTTCTTGTAGCAGGAAGAAGCAGGGGGAGTTTTGTAGATTATTGTTTGCTGTAAAATATTTTATACTTGATCTTAGCCAAAAGGCCTGGAAGCGATACAGACTGTTTCTTAAAATTCAAACCTGTACAGATGTTTCAGACAGAAGAAAGGCATTCTGGGTAGGAAGCAGCATGTGCAGACACAATGATTTCATAACATGGATTTTACTCATGGAAAATAAAGTAGTCCAAAATAAAGGAGTATATGAGTAGAAGTTGGAGATGATCCTAGAAAGAAAAGCTGGTACCCAAATTGTAAAAATCCTTATATTCCATTAACCTAGGTGGCAGCTGGGCCATGACTATCTTGTTTACCACTGTACCCCTAGTGACTAGTACAATGTCTGACACATAATCAGACTCATTTATTTCGTGAATATTTAGTATACTATATATAGTAGGAAGCTGCAAGTCTATTGAGATTTTTAAGAAATGGAGAGACATGATGAGAACCATGTCTTAGATAAATGGGGCAGGCCAAGCATGGTGGCTCATGTCTGTAATCCCAGCACTTTGGGAAGTTGAGGCAAGAGGGTGGCTTGAGCCCAGAATTTCTGAGACCAGCCTGGGCAACATGGTGAAACCTCATTTCTACAAGAAAACAAACAAAAAATAGCTGGGCATGGTGACACACACCTGTAATCCCAGCATGGGTGACTGAGGCGAAAGGATCACCCAAGAAGTCAAGCCTGCAGTGAGCTGTGATCATGCCTTTGCAACCTGGGCAACAGAGTGAGACCCCAACTCAAAAATAAAAAATAAAAGAAGAAGAAGAAAAGAAAGATAAATGGGACAGTAAGAAGAATGAATAGGGTAATGTTGAGACTTAAGGACAAGTAAGAGAGCTACTGTGACATTCCTAGCCAAGGAATGCTGCAGAAGTCAAGAGAGGGAATGAAGGGAAAAAACATACTGAGATAAAATCGAAAGTTGCTGATTACCATTTACAAGGATGCAGGGGTGGAGGAGTGGGAGCAGAAGTCAAATGAGATTCCAAGGTTTCCAGTTTGAACTAGGCAAAAGGTGATACTGCTAATTGAGGTAAGAGATAAAGCCAGGATAAGGGGCTTGGCTTTGACCAAGTTGATTCTGAGTGACAATTACCCAGGCTAGAGTACAGTGGTGCAATCATAGCTCACTGTAGTCTCAAACTCCTGGGTTCAAATGATCCTCCAGTCTCAGCCTCCTGAGTAGCTAGGACTACAGTCACACATCACTATGCCCATGCCTAGCTTTTTATTTTTTATTTTTTTTAAGCGATAGGGTCTTGCTATGTTGTTCAGGCTTGTTTCCAACTCCTGGTCTCTAGAGATCCTTCCTCTTGGGTCTCCCAGGATTACAGATGTTAGCCACTGTGCCTATCTCATTCTCTACTTCTTGAAACTTTCCCTTCCCTTGGTTTGCAGTACCTTTCTCTTTCCTGGTTCTCCTCTAACTTATGTGGCCCCTTATCTGTCACATGATCTAGCTTCTCTTCAACCCAACCTTTCAATGCTGTGGTCCCCCAGGATTATATTCTTAGCTCTCTTCTCTTCCTTCTTCACACAACTCCTATTTGAATAAACTCAAATCTATGGCTTTAAGTACCATGTTATGCAAGTAACTCCAAAATCTGTGACTTTAGCACCAACATTTCTCAGAGGTTTAGGTCCAAATCTACAACTTCTTTTCAAATATCTCTGTACACTGGTCTTCTACACAGGGTTAGGACTGGCTAGGGGACATTATACTACTTGAGAGCTATTAAAGGTTGCAACGGTAGCTGTAGAAAAATGGAAAGGAGATAATTCAGAAACAAGAACCTGCAGCAACAAGGTCTTAAGGAAGATATCAACCAAAATGTTATTTGATTTTTTTTTTTTCCCATCAATCACTCTGCCGCTCAGGCTGGAATGCAGTAGCAGGATAAAGATTCAGTGCAGCCTCAACCTCCTAGGTTCAGGCAGTCCTTCCACCTCAGTCTCCCAAGTAGCTGGGATTTCAGGGTATATACCACCATACCTGGCTAACTGTTTTCATTTTTTGCAGAGACCAGTCTATGTTACCTAGACTGGTCTTTAAGTAGTAGGCTCATGCAACCCTCCTGCCTTAGCCTTCCAAAGTCCTGGTAATATAGGTATGAGCCACAGCGCCCGGTCTGTTTTTTTGTTTGTTTGCTTATTTTTGAGTCGGAGTCTTACTCTGTCACCCAGGCTGGAGTGCATTAACACAATCACTATTACCGTAGCCTTGACCTGCTGAGCTTGGATCCTTTCACCCGGATCCTTCCACCTACTACCTTCCTAGTAGCTGGGACTATATGTGCCTACATGCCAAGCTAATTTTTTTTTTTTTAATTATTGTAGAGACAAGGTCTTGCCATGTTGCTCAGGCTGGTCTTGAACTCCTGACAATCTTCTAACCTCTCAAAGTGCTGGGATCATAGGCATGAGCCACTGTGTGTCCCAGTTATTTGATTTTCTTAAATAGCCTGGGGACAAAATTAATATATCAGATAAATTAAGCCAGATTTACAGGATAAATGAAAGAAAAGGTAAAGGAAAGAAAAAATTTGAAGACGTCAAGGCTGACATCTGCTGCTGCTATACAGTTAAAGATATTAATTTTCTTTTCTTTTTTTTTTTTTTTTTGAGCTGGAGTCTCACTCTGTCGCTCAGACTGGAGTACAGTGGCTGCTCCCGGTCACCGCAGCCTCGACCTGCTGGGCTCCAGCGATCCTTCCGCCTCAGCCTTCCCAGTAGCTGGAACTACAGGCACGCGCTACCACGCCCGGCTAATTTTTGATTTATTGTAGAGATGAGGTCTCGCCAAGTTGCCCAGGTGGGTCTCAAACCCGCGGGCTCAGGCAATTCACTCACCTCGGCCTCCCAAGGCGTGGGATTACAGCCTGAGCCACCAAGTCCAGCCAATATTAATTTTCAAGACAGCCTACAGACTAGGAAAAAATATTTGCCAACTGTATGTCTGACAAAGGCCTAATATCTAGGATCTACAAGGAACTCAAACGTGCTAAAAAGAAAGAAAAGCCAAAGCCTACAAGAGATGTGCAATTATACCAAAAGGCAAAAAGAATAAAAACAAACAACCCCATTCCCCAAAGAGGGCAAAAGATATGAATAGACACTTCTCAAAAGAAGACATACGAGCAGCCAACAGATAAATGAAAAAATGCTCAGCCTCACTAGTCATCAAAGAAATGCAAATTAAAACCACACTGAGGGCCAGGCTAGGTGGCTCAGCCTGTAATCCCAGCACTTCTGGAGGCCGAGGAGAGTAGATTGCCTAAGCCTGAGGGTTTGAGATCAGCCCGCGCAACCTGGTGACACCTCATCTCTACAATAAAATTAAAACTAGCTGGGCGTGGTGGTGGGCGTCTGTAGTTCTGGGTACTCAGAAGGCTGAGACGGAAGGATCCCCGGAGCCCAGCAGGTCGACACTGGGGTGGCCGTGAGTGTGTGTGCCACTGCACTCCAGCCTGGGCAAGGGAGTGAGACTCCAACTCAAAAACAAAAACAAAACAAAATTAAAAAACCACATGAGATACTACTAACTCCAGTCAGGGTGGCCATCATCAATAACTTAAAAAACAACAGATGCTGAAGAGGATGCGGCAAAAAGGGAATACTTCTACACTGCTGGTGGGAGTGTAAACTAATACAACTTCTGTGGGAAACAGTTTGGCGATTCCTAAAAGATCTAAAAATCAACCTTCCATAAGACCCCACAAGTCTCCTACTGGGAATATACCCATAGGAACTCAAATCACTCTGTGAAAAATACACCCACACATGTATGTTTATTGAAGCATAGTTCACAATAGCAAAAACATGGAATCAACTGTGCTGCCCATCGAAGAGGACTGGATAAAATGTGGTACATATACACAATGGAATATTATGCAGCCATAAAGAAAGACAAAATTATGAACTTCACAGCAACCTGGATGGACTCAAAATCTATAATACTGAGTGACCTATCACAGAAACAAAGCACTGAGTATCACATGTTCTCACTTATAAGTGGACCTTGAACATAATACTATATCTAATACTTATCATAATACTATAAGAAAAGGATTGGCAGTAGTGGGAAACGGCCAGGGGAGGGTGGGCTTGGGATTGACAGTAGTAGGAATCTGCGCCCTCATCAACAAGGGAACATGCATAATGAACGTTTGTATACCTAACCCTGAATTGTACCCCACATCTTTAAGATAAAAAATAAAAAAATTTAGAAAACAAAAAGATATTTTCTCGAGCAGCTCCGGCGGCGGGAGGAGCGGTAGCGGTTCGGCAGCCCAGCTTCGCGAAGGCTCTCCGTGCCGCTGCCTGCAGGCACCCGGTACACACTCTGCCCACCGCCAAGATGCCCAAGAGGAAGGTTCGACTCTGCCGAGGGGGCGGCGAAGGAAGAACCCAAGAGGAGTTCGGCGCAGTTGTCGGCTAAACCTGCTCCTGCAAAAGCGGAAGCAAAGCCAAAAAAGGCAGTGGGAAAGGATAAATCTTCAGACAAAAAAGTGCAAGCAAAAGGGAAAAGGGGAGCGAAGGGAAAGCAGGCTGAAGTGGCTAACCAAGAAACTAAAGAAGAGTTACCTGCAGAAAATGGAGAAACTAAAACCGAGGAGAATCCAACCTCTGATGAAGCAGGAGAGAAAGAAGCCAAGCCTGAATAATGTCATATCCCATGTCTTATCAGTGGTCCCTGTCTCCCTTCTTGTACAATCCAGAGAAATATTTTTATCAACTATTTTGTAAATGCGAGTTTT